TTTATAATTATTCTAGTTCAAAATTGCTGGACAGAGAACAAACACACTAATAAGGACTATAAATATAAGTGAACACATAAACACAAACATTTAACTAACCCTTATAATCCTAATTAAATATATTGCAGCTAAAAAGCTGCCTCATGCACATTGCATAAAAACGAGTCGTGCTGTACCAGTCCGAAATCCAGTTTCTGTCCCAACAATGCGTATCTGTCAAGGATAAGCAAATAAGGTAGTGGAATTAAATGTAAATTACTAATCCTTCTCTCTCTCTCTCTCTTTATACAGGTATTCCTCTAAGACCCACATTCATCAGGAAGTAAAGTAATTTTCTCTCCGGGAAAGGAAAAATAAAATGGTTAATTGCTATGTCATATAAAAGTTAAACATACAGTAGAGAAAATCAATTAATGTTACGTTGCTTTTTCCAGTTGTGTTTTGATCCTCTTTTAAATATTTATCATTGAATGTATAATAATAATAATATAATAGGACCTGGGATTTATTCAAACTCAAACTTCACGGTGGTGCCCTTTACACAAGAATGAGCCTCTACTACCGATGATCTTTTATATGAAAAAAAAAAATATTTGAGATTACAATAAAAACCCGTTTCTATTAATTTGCCTATAAGGCTCCATCAGAGGCGTAACTACCATGTTGGGTTGGAGGGGGCCATTTCCTTAGCTGACAAGACATAAACCATCGGTAGTATGGGGAGGGAGATTACTTACAATATTTTTGCTTCTAACATCAGCAAGCTGCTTATTGGCCCGAACCTTATATAAACGTCATTGGATGACATAGACTTCTTGCCGCGAGATCTCACTAACACAATTATGCTAGTCTAACAGAGTAAAAACGATTTTGTTTATTTTTTTTTAACCACAAAATCAACTGTCAAAGTGTCTGACCCGACAGCGGGTTTTTTTTACTCACTAATACCAACGGTGTCAGAGAAGTCTATGAAGAGTGAAGTTGCAGCAACGGTATGCCAATTTAAAAAAGTTAGTTACTGCACCAAGCGTCATCAAGGCATAACGTTTCTACACTAAAGGGAATCAACGAAACAATAAATAAAACATGAGAACCAATTATCAACCATGAATATGCAATATATTAAGCGATTTAAAATCACAGCAAAATTTATTCGGAGTATTTATTTCTGCAATTTTCTGGGGGGGTCAACCTAAAGCCTGGGGGGGCAGCCCCCCCCCAGCCCCCCTCTATTTACGCCAATGGGCTCCATAAATAGCTTCACCATTAATTAAATATTTTACCATTTGGATATAAACTAAAGGAACAAAAAAAAATAGATTGTGATTAGAGAAACATTTTAGAGTTCCGTGAAGCTTTCATTTTTCCAGATCATAGAGATTGCATTTGTGTTACCATCTGGAGACATGCGACTATTAAGGTCTTGCTGAAACTAAAATGTAACTGTAATGCGGCATAAAATATTTGCCAAGTTACATATTCATCATAAAAATAAAGTTTCAGCGTAACAACTTTTCCGCACGAACATGACAGGTCGTAACTTTTCGGTCAATATTGTGTGGCAACTCAGTTACAGTTCACCAATTGATAACATTAGATCGACACCAAAAGGTTACACTGTGTCATCATTGAGACCAGATTAGTCGCATTTTATCTTAACATCGTGACAATCTGAATATGAAGTTACTAATGACCATTATGTAACATTAATGTGTCCTGTTACTAGGTCATGACGTAACTTTATGTTGACTTGATATATAACTTGTTTACTTTTATGCAATAATTGTGTAACATATTTTTCTTTCTCTCTTATAAAAAGATTTTACAGGTGCTACTTGGGTTTTTTTTTATATTCAACCCTTTGTTCCCTTTCTCATCATTCGACCTTAAGCCCCTTTTTGAATCATTATACCTTTTGTTGATTCGCTCTTTTTAGTTTGTCCCTGTTTGAATCGTTCAACCTTTTGGTACTTTTCGAATAATTCAACCTTTGTCCATTCGGCCTTTTATCCACTCGACCTTTTCCCATTCGACTTTTTGTCCATTGGACTTCTGTCAATTAGAATTTCTGTCTTCCTCTTCATCATTCAAAGGACTTTTTGTCCATTCGACCTTTTGTTCCCCTTCTCATCATTCGACGTTTTGTCCATTCGAATGTTTGTACCTTCTTCGAACATTGAAATTTTTTATAAAAGTTTCGTAAGCTTCGGGGTAGTCATCTTGAGGGCAAAAGCAGCGCTTCAAGCGAACTGAAAGAACTTTTAAGAAATTGCATGAGTTTCAGATAACCTCGGAGCAGTTAGATTTGCCCCAAAGATATCTAATTAACAAGACTTCCTACTAATATATCCCTAGAACAAGGCAATGGATACATCACCCTTATGTGATAGCATTGCCATCTGGTGAGTGCACATTGAAACTGTTGGGAGTCCCCCACTACAGTCGGTGTCACGCCAAGAGAAAAACAGTTGAACTCGCATCACGGTTTTCGAAAGATTTCCTTTCTTTTCACTTGGCAACAGAGGACTTCTACATCAACTTCAAATGACTTCTAGCGAGAAAAAAAATAGCGGCTGTAGTAAATCTTATATCAGTGATTTTATCAAATTATCTTTAAAAAAAATAGTAGAAATTCTCATTACTGATATTTAGACACGTTAAGTCCGATGAAGAAAAATAAATTAAATAAATATAATTAACAAATGTATCTTATGACAATTTAATGCTCAGATGCGACTTGAAAACGTGCTCCACCCTTAGCTTAACTTCAATAGTGCCAAGATTAGATTTCACCAGTCGACAGAACGAGAAAGAAGAGCGACTACCATTCCTAGCATTCCCAACTTAAATTAAAAAGCGAGCTGAAATCAAAATCTCCTTCAGCTCTCGTTAAAAGACAATATTATTCTTTATCCTTTACCTTACTCCGATTTTCACGTCCATCCCGACTTCCCTGCTGAAAGACTCTGAAAAATGGAAATCCTCGCAAATATTTAATCAACTTGACCATGAAAAAAAAAACGAGCGCGGTAAAAGAAAATTATTGGCGAGCGGGATTTTTAATTAACGGTTCGCATAAATCACTACTGTGCGGAATGAATTTGCAAACCCCATCGCCTTCATTTCCTCTTATCTACCAAAAGGCGCCCAATAATCGGCAGGATGATTGGCAAGTGATTGGAGATTTGCTTCATTTTACATTTCGATTTCCATTCGAAGGGATTGGAAAAACTATCCAACCATCTGTGACGTCGTTGGAGTAACACTTATTCCTCGGAGTAATTAAAACTGGATTCGCATTTTCAGATCCGAAATGGAATCGAATTCTGATGAATAATTGATTCCGGCACCCCGTCGCGATATAGTCGTCAAGAGTTACGACGTCTAGACGAAAGCTTCGTACGATGACACTTTGCACTGCACGTCAACTCCTATCGGGAGTTGTTCTGTGTACTCTTGTGGCTCGCGTGCCCTATCGAATTTCACCTTTCACACGTACGGATCGCAACTCGGATGCTGGCTGGGGATGATTAACATCGGAGATCGCTCATCCATCGAGTTCTTATCCCCCTCGGCATCATCATCATCATCATCATCGTCGTCATCAGTGGGTAAAAAACGAGTGGAAAATCGTTTTGAATCACCCCGCTCTCGCCTGGTTGAGTGTCTTCACGCATTCCATCGAAGGGCCCTCCCTCATGGCTGAGTAGTGTTATAAGGGCAAGTCGAGCAGACCGAAGCTTTCAAAAAGATTATCGTTTGTTTACGTGGTTTATCTGCTTTTTTTTTGCTATCCCACACCCACGATGACGACGAGCTGACTTTTCGAAAGTTGTTCCACTTCATCAACGGATCAACTTCACTAGCCGAGAGTGAAGGACGGTGCTAGGAGCTGAGGGTGCGTGTAGAGACAGCAGGATCCTGTGGCTTCCATTTTACAGGCAAAAGTGACAAATCGCCCATCGACGCAGAACAAACTGCGTAGTGCTAAGAGGTGTGGAATGGGACGAAACCGATTCCGGAACTATTAAGTTGAGACGATTACACGTCTAATCGGATCGTTCAAGTGTGGGAAGCAAGTTTGCTCGAACTTGATGTTGGGCTCGGGATTCGGCGTAGATATCGACCCAAGGGTGCTTCATTTTGAAGAAAAAAAAAAGTGATGAATTTCTGATAGGTCACTGTCGGCGGTAGGCCACTGAGAAGCAAAACGATTAAAAGTGGTTTCCGAATGTTAACGTGTATTTCGATACAAGCGTAGATTTTATCCTGTAATTCATTAAGGCATTTAGGAATAATTACAGTGAAATCCCTAAATATGTCTCACTTACGTTTTGTATTTAACTCGTCTTGTTAGTGCTTCCTTCTGTCCTTTTTCGGTTTCAATGTTTTAAATACTACCGTCACGAAGAACACCTCCTGTTATGTCCACTGGCTTTACTAGCCGGACGATTAACACCGAACCTTTAGTTTAAAGAGCTTTTGTAAATACTCTAGATAAAGAATAGATTTTAATTTCACAAGTAAGAAATTCAACAATTATTCATTAATTACCTTTCAACTAGCAATAAATTCTAGATCAATTCACGAAATAGTAATAGTTTCAAGGGTTTTAAGTAGATTTTATCTACATTTAGGCACTAATTTAAGTTCTTCCACTATCAATCACATCACGTTAAATTGCTTTATAATTACTGTCTTCCCACGCCAAGCAATATCTCGGTGAATGACGTTTCTTCTAACGGCCACGTAGTTGTCAAATCGGAGTGACATACGATGAATCGAGAGCCGGTCGCATTGATGTGCCGTTCTTCGTTTCCTTGCGTGCATCCGCTGAATTGCAAGGTTGTTTCGATTTATAAGGTGAGGCGCACCGACCGTGGGGTCGTAACACTTCCCCCCCCCCTCCAGGTATGCCAAGTCCTTGGCTTACCTCTTCGTCACGTCGAACCTCAAGGACCGCTAGCTTTGTCGCCGGTCGCGTAGATACCCGCCTGGGTCTAAACCGCTGCTGATCTCATCTGCCCGTCTTTGCTCCTGTTGTTCGAAATTATCCGTCCCTTGGGTCTACAGTTTCGTGGAAGTCCTGGGTCGACGACTACCACGATGTCGTTCACCTCAATCGGCTTGACTTCGTTAAACCACTTGGTCCGCTTGGTTAGATTCGGTAGATAATCCTGCACCCATCGTCGCCAGAAGATGTTCGCTTCGACCTGTGAAGCACACCACGCCCGGCGCAGAATCACCGTTCTGTTGTCGAAGACCGTGTCAGCTTGAGACCGCTCGAAGAACCCAGGAGAAAACGGTTAGGTGTTAGAACTGGAGCCTATGGATCTTCTACCGGCACGTGCATCTGTGGACAATAATTGATAACGGTCTCCACTTCGGCCAACATATTCCGGAGTACTTTGTCGGTTGGATTTCGCTCTGGTTTCATCACCGCGAGGTTCTTCTTCACCGACTGAATGAGCCTTTCCCAGGCTCCACCCATATGCGGAGGAAGAAATGTCCACTCCGTTCCAGGCCCGACGACTGCTTGGATGATCCTCTCCAGATCGACCTCTTTGAGTTCCACCTCAAGTTCTAAACGCACTGCCGTCAGTTCCTTGCTTGCCGCCGGATCCTTGCTTGCCGCCAGTTCCTTGCTTGCCGCCGTAAAGTTCGTACCACGGTCAATGCCATTTACGCACGAATTCGCACTAAGTGAATGTGCAATTTCAATATGTACCGCCCGTATAGTCATTAGACTGATGCAAATTTTGACATTTTCGCTCCACAGTGCTCAAACCGTTCCAAATCGGGTCCTGATCAGTCTCCCAACATTTGAACTCCTTTGAAAAGAAACTGACTTGGCACAAACCATTTGTAACCAGTTGGTTACAATCCGTGGATTTTCGTTTGTATGAGTTGTTGTTGTTTGGAAAATTCACGTATTTTAATTTAAAAGACAGAAGGCAACACACAGCAGCGAGAGGGTTAGTACCGCTGCAAAAACACTCGAACGATTATAAAGGGAGGACAATTAAGCTAAAAATGGAGAATGATCGGCAAAAGGCATGCGAGTGGCCATGTTGTAAAAGGAAAAAACTTTCTAATTGGCAGAAGTAACCAGGCGTCCGTGTAGACCAGTTGAGTGTTAAGTGTAGTGCATATTTAATACAACACCCCCCCCCCCCCTTGTGGGGTTTGGGCTAGAAAGCCTACCTCCGTTCAGGACCTCTTGTGCTTTTGTACATTTTGTACACCTCGTACTCGACATAAAACGGTCTTACACGGCTCGGCTCGGAAGTCAAGATGGCTTCCGAGCCTAATAGTAAATGATCCTCGATCGTCCGTCAGGGACGATTCCCTCAGGCCGCACAGTGGCACGAATATGAATAAAGACGGTCAAAAATATTTTCTACCCTTTTTCGACGTTTTAGAGACTGGGTGTCTTGGGAGAAGTTGCTCAAAATTATAACTCGCATCTTTGGAAATACACACCTGAATAATATTTAAGCTAGTATTACACATCCAAATTCTAACTTTTTCCAGTTACGAGATAATGGTTCCATGTCTTGGACAAAGTTGCAGAACAGTTGATTTCATGAACATTTGCTAAAGACACCAAATTTCTACATCTTAACTCTGTAGAGCTAGAATAGATTTTCTTGTAAGACTACCTTAATATTGGTTTTTTAAATTAATTAGTGCTTTTTTCAAATTTGATCAATTTATCATGTTCTAAGAAATTGTTGGCATCATTAAAATATACAACTTTGCTGAATACACCAATGCTTTTCATTAACATCAATGTGATATACAGCCCATCAAGCGTTTTTGTGACGTCATATTCAACGGCTCGAAAAGAGGGTGGGCGGGCCCTGGCGGGGTCTAAAACTGGTTGTATTTTGAAGATTACCTTATAAAATAGTACTTCAGAAAATTTCAGCGTTGGGTACTGAGGGGTACCTAGCCAAATCTCGATTCGAAAATGTCAATATTATATACAGCCCATCGGACGGTTTTGTGACGCCATATTGAACGGCCCAAAAAGATGGCAGTGCTGGGTTTCCAGGGGTATAGGCGGGCCCTGATGTAGTCGAATACTGATTGTATTTGGAAGATCACCTTATAAAATACTACTCCTAAAAATTTGAGCGTTGGGTACCGAGGGGTTCCCAGTCAAATCTCGTTTATATATATTTAGTACAAGTTATATACCAATGTGTGCTACGAGTGTGCTACTTACTCATGATAAAATTTACAACTATATAAAAAATGCATTATCTTGAAATGTTATCAATGGGTTTGTTCATCAACTGCATATTCTGAACTTTGATATTTTGAGTATGCCAATATTGAAAAAAATATGTTTTAATTACTCCTTACCTGACTATCTTCGATAATATTTGACATGACGATTTCCATGAATCTGCTCCGCCCACACTTTGAACAATTCCATCCGACAAAGATTGAATGTATTCATTTTGAACCACAACTTCAATACAAGTTGTTCGTAAAGAGACGAACCAGCTACAGGCTAAAAGTCTCTATAATAAAGCAAAAAAAAAAAAAGTTGTTCGTGAAAAAAATCACACTTAGATAATTAAATAAACTCTATCGCTCTTTGCTATCGCCAAAACGTCAAGCGCAAAATAGTCATCTGCAGCAGCGTTCAGCGATGTGCATGCGGAAGTTTCAAACATCTGTTGTGAAGTCACGTTCCATGTTCTGAAAAGAGGGTGGTGTGGGTAGTTCCAAAGTTGGAACCCTTTAGAACCGTAGTCAGAATTTTATCATTTATTCTAGTTTTCTTGAAAGTTATACCGATATTTTAGTCCATATTGTATATAATAAAGGGCAAAGAATATACCAATATTATCAACTATCAACATATGAGTATCAATATTGCAATGAATGTACATATCAATGTAGGTACACTGAATAACAAACACATTAAGAACAAACCCATTAAATACATCTTCAGATTAAGCTTAATAATTTAAATAATTTGCAAGTTCAAACATGTGTAGGTTAAAATCTGGGTACTGCGGAGTCGACCAATTTTATTTTGCAAGCCAATGGAAAACTGGTTGAAAATTTTCTCAAGTTTAAAATTGATTTGCTCTTTCTCAGTTGATTCGCGCCAAAAGCTCTGAGCCAGGAGTGCTCGAGCCCCCATGACTCTATCAAAGTTTGTTTACATACATGTTTCGCCAAAGTATGTTCTACTGTAATTGAAAACTCAGCTGCCTCATAAAAACTATGCTGGTTTTTATACTTTTATCACTAAGCTTGTTGGTTTTTATCTTTGAGCTTAAAATTAAGAATGTGTTATGATAAAGTATAGAGCATTTTAATGAGATTACAATGCTTGACGGTAGATAAGAACAGTAAATGCATTTGCTGCTTCTGAATGTTTGGCTCCCGCTTGACAGTTCACACTGGCTCCCAAGTGACAAGCACCTTGAGTGAGTCCGCAGTACTCAGGTTAAAATCATTGATTCATAGCTCAATACCTAACGCGGAATTTTTCAGGAGCACTATTTTATAATGTAATCTTCGAAATTCAATCGGTTTTAAACCCTGCCAGGGGCCGCCTACCATCTTTTCGGGCCGTTCAATATGGCGTCACAAAACCGTCCGATGGGCTGTATATAATATTGACATTTTCGAATCGAGATTTGGCTAGGTACCCCTCAGTACCCAACGCTGAAATTTTCTGAAGTACTATTTTATAAGGTAATCTTCAAAATACAACCAGTTTTAGACCCCGCCAGGGCCCGCCCACCCTCTTTTCGAGCCGTTGAATATGACGTCACAAAAACGCTTGATGGGCTGTATATCACATTGATGTCAATGAAAAGCATTGGTGTATTCAGCAAAGTTGTATATTTTAATGATGCCAACAATTTCTTAGAACATGATAAATTGATCAAATTTGAAAAAAGTACTAATTAACTTAAAAAACCAATATTAAGGTAGTCTTAAAAGAAAATCTATTCTAGCTCTACAGAGTTAAGATGTAGAAATTTGGTGTCTTTAGCAAATGTTCATGAAATCAACTGTTCTGCAACTTTGTCCAAGACATGGAACCATTATCTCGTAACTGGAAAAAGTTAGAATTTGGATGTGTAATACTAGCTTAAATATTATTCAGGTGTGTATTTCAAAAGTAGCGAGTTATAATTTTGAGCAACTTCTCCCAAGGCACCCAGTCTCTAAAACGTCGAAAAAGGGTAGAAAATATTTTTGACCGTCTTTATTCATATTCGTGCCACTGTGGGCCGGTGGCCTTAATTGCCAAGGAGGGTCCCGTCTCGACTCGACCAAGGTGGCCATGCCACGGTCAGCCGATGCCGTCAACGACGGAAGACGCCTGCCAGCCAAACGAGCCAGCAACGCCTGCTGAGCCGTATGTGGCTGATGAACGCCACCAGATCCGCCATTCTCCCAAAGCGGCAACAACACTGTCTGCAGCCCGCGCCGCAAGTTTCCGGGCACACGGTAGTGCAGGAGCAGCCGTGTGGACCAACGCCAGCGTCGCGATGCCGAAGGAGAATCTGCTGCAACAGTGAGTACCGTACTGTTCATAAACTCTCGCATACACGCCACATATATGTGAAAACCCACACCCACACGCCACAGAAAAGGGCAAATAAATGTTTTAGAAAATGTGAATATTCCTGTGTTTCATACTTTGTCCGCGTAGCCCCTCCGAATACCCAGTAACATGCCGGCCCTGCGACACAGTTCAGGGGTCTCATGCTACTGAGCTAGTTACCCGGGAGTGTCTGGTAATGCCATAGTCACACATTTGAAGTTTATATGGAAATTACTATGGGAAAGCGAAACTTTTTGTTAATTGTCTTCTTACCTTTTTCCATATTGCACTGTTAAAAAATTCAAAAGCTATACCTATGGAAAATTTACTCAGCTACAACTTTGCACAATATAGTTGTTGAACTAAAAGTCAAATAAAATAGTTATTAATTGTTTAAGAGATTGATAATCTTATGGCATGATCAAGCAGCTGTTTTGTGAGCAACACTGTATCTTGCAGTGTGACATAGTAGCCATGATTTTTGTGCTCTATTCTAAGCGCCAGAAACACCAATGTTGCCTGCTGAACAGTTGAATGAGCATAATCATAAGACATTAGTGACTTGAATCATTAATAACATTTGTTCCTTACATTTGATTGAAAAGTGGGTTTGAACAAAGTTGTAGCTGAGAAAGTTTTCTACAATCACTGCAATCATTTTCAAAAGCATCCTGATGTGGTGAATTGTTAGATAGATATGAACAAAAAAAATAAGTTTTCCCATAGTAATTCCCATATAAACTTCAAATGGTTTGTGCCAAGTCAGTTTCTTATCGAATGAGTTCAAATTTTGGGAGGCTAGTCAGGACCCGATTTTAAACCGTATGAGCACTGTGGAGCAAAAATGTCAAAATTTGCATCAGTCTAATAGTCATGCATGTTACAAGCACACCCCACCGCTTGTCAGTTCTTCGCCCTACCGCCACCAACAAAGGGCCGAAATAATCAATGCCAATCAACGCCAGCCTTGCTTTAGGAAGATCGCCCATAGGAGGTGGACGTGGGACCGCCCTTGGGTTTTTGTACTCCTGACAGCTCGCTCTGACTCGTTGAAATAGCCGCCTGATCTTCGGGATCCGGAATGTTTGCCGCAACTCGTTCACGACGGTAGTGTGGTTTTGATGATGGTACCGCTCATGATGATCCTTGACTATGAGCCATTTGACATGATGATCTTTCGAGAGAAATATTGGATTCCTAGTGTCCATGGAAGCGTTCTCGCATGCGTTGATCCTGCCATGCATCCGAAGTACTTTCTGCTCATCCATGAAAGGGTTCAGTACGTAGATCGTACTCGATGTTTGCATCGCCTTGCTGGCAGCTCCCGCGCTAAGAACACTTATCTCGTCTGAAAAGGCCTCTGCCAGAACCAGTCAAAGCAGCTAGTTAGTTGTATGATTCAGTTAGCGGACCAGTGATGCGTTCTGTGTTGTTCGCCCCCCAACAAGAGTATTCTCGAACGTTGATGATTGATTGGGGTTGCACCTGATGGTAGTAGAGTTTTGCACGGAGTTCTTTATCGGTGCCAGCTTCACGGTACGGATTAGATGGCCAGCGGTCTTGACGTTCCCGCAAGTAACTGGGTCCTTTGAACTACCGGCTATCTTCGGTGAGGTTTGGCACACCCTTCCACTTGGTAGCATCGTCAGCAACATTTTCCTTCGACCGCTTATAACCCCAGTCTGCTATGTTCGTTGTTTCCAGAATTTCACTGATGCGGAATGCAACGAATTGCGAACACCGCCTCATGATCTGACCGGATCCAGCACAAGACGTCACGCGAGTCCCTCCAGAAAAACCTCTTGAATGACAAGGACTTCGTATTCCTATCAGCCAACCAGACTCCGATGATCGTGTCCTGCAACTCCAACCTTGGTATGGACACAAGTCTCTGCCTTGCTCAAAACGTAGATAAACGGCAGCTGCGTGGCCTGACAGGCTTGCATCGACAAACGTGTGCAATTGGGATGTTCGTATGTGGACTCAGTTACGTTAAGAAACGGTAACAGCGAGGTATGCTGATGTCCTGCACCTTCGGTAGAATCTTCAACCATTTCTCCCACTTTTTGTTGAGACTTTCCGGAATCACGTCATCCCATCCGATGCCAGCTCGCCAAACTTCTTGGAAGAGAACCTTCAGGTAGATGAATACGTTCGATAACAGTCCTAGCGGATCAAAGACAGCCTTTAGCCATTTCGCGACAGCTAAAAGGTAAACGTGTCGGTAGACGTACACCGCCACATACCCAAAACCTTCTCTGTTCCCAGTTCCATTCCGAGCTTTAAGCTCTTCTCGTCGGTATTCTCTTCTCTCATCGCTTCCACGACTGCAGATGAGTTGGAAATCCAGTTTCGCATGTCGAATACAGCATGCGCGTGAACGAACTTCACATCCTTAGCGATCTGAATAGCCTCCTGCTCCGATTCGACGCTAACTAGATATTGTGATTCGAACCTATGCGCGTTGAGATTTTTCACGTACTGTGCGCAGCTTGGTGAACACGAGCTACCGAAGGGCATAACTTGTGCTACGTAGGTGCTGGGGTTTCCGAAAGAGTCGTCGCACCATAGCACTCTGATACAATACTGATCCTTCTTGCACATGAAAACCTGCAAGTACATCTCCCTGATGTCACCACTGAGCTCCACTAGGAATTCTCGGAACCGGTAGAGAACGTAGTCGAGCGGTGTGAGGAGGTCCGGCCCTGTCAGGAGCATTGAGATCAGCGAAACACCGTTGGTTTTAGCTGCCGCATCCCACACGATTCTCACCTTGCCGGGTTTGTTTGGGTTGAACATCGGGAACAACGGCAGATACCACACTCGCTCCTCGTCGGAAAGTTTCCTGATGTACCCTTTCAGTCGGTAATCTTCGATCTTCGCTCGTAATACTTCCGCTAGTTCCGGCTGCTTCTTCATTCTAGTTTCCGAGCAATGGAAATGCCGTAAAGCTGCCGGTTTGCTGTTGGGTAACTCGATGTCGTCGAACTTCCATAGAAGGCTAACTTCGTATCGACCGCTTTCCTTCCGGGTGGCTGACTCCAGTATTCGCTGCTCGCTGCCCAGAGAGAAGTAGTCACGTTCAGCTTGCTGCAACATTTCATCGGACCGCTCGCTGCATGGACAAGTGTGGACGCTGTGGCTGTGATGTCCCACTAGAGCTTCTCCGGTATCCGCGCCTCCGCAGACGATCCATCCAAGACGCGTTTTCATTGCGATGGGTTCGTACATCTTTCCTTCCCTTCCCTTGAGTGGAAATGTGAGGTTGGCGTTGGCGATTCCGATCAAGATTCGATATAACTTGCCTGATATAAGATGAGCCTTCAAGCACGAAGGTTCGAGAACGCGATTGTCGCTATCCTTGATTGTGGCACACCACGTTGGCCATCCGGCGCTATCTTTGAACTGTTCATTATGTGGATCACAATACAGGTCCGCTACTGTTCTTCGACAATTGAGGCTTTCTTCTGGATCATTCTTCGGCCAAGCCGTGCAATTTCTGCATCGTTACGCACGTGCATCAAGCATACATATTCGTATTCATCGCATCGATTTTCATCTCGGTGGCTGCTTCGTCGAATACCTGAAGAATTTGATTAAGAATAGAGTTGGATTCGTCGCTGCACGATGGAAGAACCCAGGAGCAACAACCAAGCGCTGCTTTCAAGGAGGGAAAGTCTTCTTGCTGCTCTGGGTCGGGCTGTGACATTTCTTGAGGCCTACGATGCTGTGAGGGACGCAAGGCAGGTTCAGATTCGGCTGGACCACATAGGCAACGTTTGGGTCAGGGTGGTGTACATTCAGATGAACAAGGTAAGCGAATACATGAACAGGTACGTACTGCCTTTGAAGAGAGGCTGTTCGCAATAAAAGCCGATCTAACATCTAAACTTCCTGTTCTTTCCAATGACGCTCAAATCCTTCAAGCCATAATCCTCGCGTCACTTTTCATAAGGTCCGAAGTAACAATTCCTCCATTTTGAGAAAAATTAAGTTGAAGATCGGCGGATTGAGTGTTCACTCGGCTGCCGACAAAAGCAGGCCACTCTCGATGTGTGCTACGCGATCGTCTGTTTTCTCGGCAGCAACCATTGTGTGGTCCTCCTCATTGTTCTTCATCAGCAGTTCTTTCGGTCGATGCGTCGTCGACTTTGGAAAGCAACCGTTTCGTGATGAGTGTGTGAGTGCTGACCACGTTTTGCGTCCATTGTTGCAATGGACGCGCTCTGACCCTCGTTGGCGTACAACAATTTGCCATACAATGAAACTACTGGAAGCGGCTCCAGTTCTGATGGAGGAGGCTTTTTGGATAGCGGAAGATAAAGTGTTTATTGTGTTGTACCTTTTGACTATAGTTTTAAGATGTATTGTAAAGTGACCAAGAATCCTCGGCTCTGTAAAGTTAATTCGGTTGAGCCTTATCAAATAAATCAATAAACAAAAAAAAAAAGATCGGCGGATTGTTTTTAAAATTGTTTTAAAATATATCTATTTCCATTCATTTTATTACCGTGGTAAGATAATAATAATGATCTAAATTCAATAGAATCGATAAAAAAAACCAATTTGATTTAATAAATTGTGGTATAACGTAGAAAAACTCACATGGGACTTTTTTACAAGTCATACTGTACTTTGGACAAGTTACATTGTACGTTTTGTTTCAATGACAGTTACTTTGGACGGTTTGTTTTTTCTATGTTTGAGGTATTTTGATGTTTGATTGGTTGATAATATCATCTGAGTGAACCAGAAAAGCGTATGAAGTATGCTCCACAAGTGTTTACTCAATCTGGACAAAAAATAATTTACTTCATCTCTGTTGTGTTCATAGATTCAGCGACGGATCCAGTTTACTGGTCGGGGCCCCGATTTTATGCAGACCAAGTGGAGTGCCATATGCAATCGTCATTTCAAACCAAGCATGGGAAAATGCATTCACTCGTGCGAGCAACACAGAATCAAAATAGCCATTCTCGCCTACAAACAGATTGCCGAACGAGTGTAAATTTTCCCTACCAAGTGACTCTGCAGCTCGACTCAGAACTGACAGCAATAGAAGGAAAGAAGGATAAACTGAAAGGCAGCCGAACAATTTTCTCTAGTGAGGGAGAACCAGATTGAATGCGTAAAATCCGAATGCTAACGATTTAAATAGCCGAGTCAGATAGTTTTTGGCTCACTGATTTAAATCACTTGAATTGGCCACAGCAGTTTTAAGTTATCTGCGTGACACTTATGTTTATGTGCTACAGTATAACAGTTTTCTCGATATTAATAGCGATTTAAATGTGTCAATGTATGTTTAAAGCTAGAAAATAAAAAGTCATTCTTTCTGCAAAATTCTCATTCCGCTCACTCAGCAGAATGCAATCGTAAAAGGCTCAGCATGGAAAAAATAATAAGAGAGGAATCTCCACACTACTACACTCAGAATCATTCGTGTTACGCTCAGCTGTCTGTTTTCCTCAATTCTGCATTCATCGAAGAAAATAGAAGCAATGCGAATACGAACGAAATCAGTGCGGCTCGCACAAGCTGCTGTTTGTTTCGATGTTGTATGCGTGTGAGTGAGTTGAGAATGCAAAATGGAACGATTTTTCCCATGCTTGTTTCAAACCTATCGATTTTGAGAATTGCGTGTACAGGTTTGCCATTCGAAGTCTTTCCCTTGCATATAGTTTAAATGAACGATCACTTTTAGGAGAAAAAATATCAACACAGCGGTTCCATCGATTCGAGAGAGTCACCAAGCACCGATTGTGTCCTACATAGGACACCCACCAGCAAGATCTCTACGGAGGAGAAGAACTTAATCTTCTAGAGGATTGTGCGACATTGTGTTGAGCAAATGGTGCCAATCAACGTCCAATGTAACTTGTCTGGTTCTGTGTGTTTGACTACAGGAAACATTCTGCAGGTGGTCCAAGCACCTGAAGAGCCTTCGAGACTGAAGATACAACAAGAAACATTGGTGAACATTAAGGAAGATGCCGGGGATTCTACAACTAAAATGAGAGACGTGCATTCAGATGCTCCGGAGAGCACTTTTATAATCAAGAATCCTATTATCACCCATGCTATTCAACAACTCATCGCATGAAGGTCAGTACTCGAAGCAACTTGTATCCGCCAATCGAGGACATCACGAGTGCCACTATCAGAAAAGTTCTTCGGTGGCAAATTGTAATTAAAACGGAAGACACTGCTGAGTTGTACGAGGACTGCAACTACCATTCTAGCTATTAGCAAGATTTCCAATCCGATTTGGACACCAAGCGGATGACAACAAGGACGATATTTTTCACACTTGCCCGAGCCGGTGGAACCTATAAGCCTAGTAGAGTTAAATATCCGGAGACTGCTGTCAACTGCAAATGAGAACCAATTTGTGAAAGGGAAACAGCTCTTGGTCGGTATTGTTATAAAAAGATATAAGAAAGTAGTGTGTTGTTTAATTGTGTTCTAGACCCAAATGATGTTCTTCAAAATCTGTGATTTAAAACAAATAAAAACAGTTAAGAATTTACTTTGACTTGCTTAATTTTTAACAATGAAAGTTTAAACAATTAAATGCAGTAGTTTAACATTTTTCTTTAGTTTAACTCCTCCAACAACAAAAAACAATGTTTCTTCTCAAAACGTATCTCCCAACTCTTTAGATATTTAGGTGTTTAGTCACTTACTTAAAATCGAAATCAGCATCAAAGTTGTCGCAATCGGCGACATTTGACTTTCTGTCCCGCCCAGGAGGAGCCAAGTTTTTCAAGAAAGCTTCGTAGTACCATTTTTGTGATACAAATGGTAGAAGTCGTCGTAAATCCTCCAGTTTCGCAGTGGGAAGTACTATTGGCTTTGTTAATATTGGTATCAACTGAATATATTTAAGCATTACAGTCGTCGAAGTTAACAGTTTTATACATTGGAAATCTTTGTCACCAACATCCTTTTTAAATTGCACCATTCCAGGAAACTCTGAAGAACACCAGAATATTCGAGCTTCCTTGAACTTGAATGCTTCGTTATTACTTGTACATTTTGGAACTGTATACCTTGATTCAAGAACCGAAAAATCGAAAAACTTACTCTGCTCCACATCTTTTACGATGATTGGAGGAGATCGTCGGATTGACGAAATGAACAAATTCCAATCGTGAGGAGTTTCAATATTCCCTTGTACTCTCTTTTTGGCCCGCTCAATTGCAGAGTGGACTGTGTCACACTCCATGTGACTATGGCCACTGACCATAAACTTATGATATATTGACAACTTTCGACCATCTGCTGCTGCTAATTCAGTAACGTATGCCATAATAAAAAGAACAGTGCGGTTATTGTTCTACCCAGAACATCGATCGCTATACATAATCACTTCCTCCACGCATGCTGGTAATCCTTTAAAGTAGTGCCACAAACATGACCCGATTTCTCTTGAGCCTCGTTTGGCACGTGTTTCATCCCATAGGTAACACATTGGAATATTTGCACCCATCTGAGTCTCGTATATCGTTAGATTGTACGTATACAGTTGCCGGCTATAGAAAGCTCGACCGCATGTCAGGTAAGGTGTTGCAAGATGCTTTTGCAGATCGAATGAAATTGTTCACACCGACATATCCTGGTCCGCCCGCTTCTTGTCATCCCTTTTTTCGCCGTAGATTCGCTGAGCCTCGAGTTGATGTGCCTCCTTCCGAACGATTACCTCCTTCCGCTTTTCTTCGTCCTTCTCTACTTGTAACTCTACCTTAAGCATGTCGCATGGGTTACATGTATCAATCTTAGGTTTTCGAAACTTAAGATTTTGAGTATTAAATGCACGCCGATAGGTATTGTAATGAACTGGTATGAAATTATCCACTCCACTCTGGTCCTGGTACAGTTCATACATACGCTGGACATTTAAATCAGACGATAAGTAGAGCCTTGATGATTTCTCGCGACCGTAGTGGCTTTCTTCAGCCGGAAATGACTTGATGTGCTTAATGATGTAGTCGGCGTGCTCAGGACTAATTTGTTTTCGAGAACAATTGCCTTTCCTCATGTCATCTGAAGCAACCCCTTGTCCCAAAACAAGCTTGTTGGCGAGAGTACGAACTTTCCTGTCCTTCAGGTCAAATGTAGCCATAAACATAAGTTTACAAACCTTTACGGGACCACCAACACCCGGTAACCTATAAATCCGAGATCGAGTACGCCGTGAAATTAGAACCTACATGAATTAACGAAAAAGT